GCAAAGGCTGTAATCCAAGGCTCTTCCGGACCATGTCGAGACGCGTAAGGCCAGCGACTCGTCTAAGAAACCCAAACATTTTTCTTTTAATGAACTTTTCAGTAATAGACGGGTGATGGCCCTCCCCTTTCGTCAGCAATTCTGTTTCGCTGAAGTACACCGTCATCGATACACGGTACTGTGGAAGAGATTGACCCGCGAAGCGTTGATCTGCTGACTTTCCAAAGAAGGATATCCTTGATGGAGGAACAAGAGATAATATACTTTCCTTCTGCGCGAGCTTATCACTTTGTGAGAACGTCGCATGTTATCTTCCTGGCACAAATAAGTGTAGTTTTCTAAATGTTTTATAAGTTCTCCATGAATGATTATCTAGGTTTTCTGTAATGCATTTTATAGCATGTATGTTGCCTTCGACCGACTGAAGTTTGGTGTGACCTCGCCAATCGTTTTATGAGTTCTTTCGAAATTTCTGATAGATGAGTGATGTCTTAATCAGCGATTTCAGATGACTCAGTTGCACGCCGTAAATCTTTATTCCACCATTCTAGCCAATGCGCATGAACATCATTTACAGACAGAGCTTTGGTGAAACTGTCTACTTGTTTCATGCTTTTCTGAATGGGTATCCGAATGGGATGTCGAGCGGTGCAGTGTTTGCGATGCATTCAACGTTCGTATCATACAGTAGGTCGATGCAGTACGTGTCGATGCTCTGTGATCTCCATGCCACGTTGAGTCTGTCTGACTCGAACGACGTTTCTTAATCGGTGAAGGCATTACACAAAGACTGTTTGTATTTCTTCTAGTACTTCAGTAGTTACTACACAGCAAAAACCTTCTCTGTGGAACTGTAGTTCTTTGAAAGCCTTGAATCCTCTTTTGATTGCTGCTTATCCAAACTAGACATTGACGTACGTTTCCTTCATTTTACGGAAAGATTAAACTCCTCATGCTAAATGAATGAATGTGAACCGTGTTAAACAAAATTAGGGATTTCACAAGTAAGTCAGTAATTAGAAACCTAATCTCGAGTCAGTGGGTCATAGTCTCATATTGTATGAATTATAGAAATATTTGAGGGTGTTTTAGAGCCTAATGCATTGCCTTCACATAAAATTAGGTTGTGAAATTTTTACGGATTCATGTCATAGATTAAAGATGTTTCTAATAAAACGAACTATATCTGATTGGAACGTTACATAGATACAGACCATTCGAATGAAACCCTCATTCTGAAACTTGAATTTACATTTTACTTGTCAGAAGAAAACTTATTTCTATTTAATTGATTCCAAGATTTCTGTCATATGCAAATGTTAGCTCAAGTGTTTTATACAATTGCATTTTTTATGATAACCTTTAGACTTATGCTTTGTTATGCGTCATCATACAGTATCAACGGATCGTCAGAGGCGAAACAGATGAAGCAGACTCAGAGATTAAAGTTCCCGTTGTCGTATGGGATGATCACAACCAGAAAGGCGGCAGCGCGGAGTCGAAATATGGCAGTAAGTTGCGATGGTTTCTAACGGCACTTGCTTGCATTGATTTGCTACCACCTTTACTTTGTTTGAACTTTCTGCTGTAATCATGATCTCTATGGATATATAAGGGATGCAGGCTATTTAGAACTTGTCCATATTTCAACAGGTTAGATGTAACGATCCTTCATTTGCTGTCTTGCTTAGTGATAAAAGCTTTCAGACTCTGCAAACTGTTTGGTATGTCGGTCGCCATAACACGAAAAATTATTCCCGTTCGAAGGATGCAAAAATATGGAACAGAGAAAGACCTTTCGACAAAAATAATAAGGATGGATCATAAGAAGAGATATTTACTTTCAATATGTTAGTTTCATGCAAAAAATGTTTTATCGCTGAGCCTTAAGGCGGTATATCAGAGGTTGTACGGAGTTAAATCGTACCATTAATTTTAAGAGCACTCAAAGTGCCGGAAAATCAGAGGAAATTTATTGCAGAATTAATTACGGAATACTACCTTATGCTGAGAGCAGTTGCATTGCTCGCATGAAAAAACTTCTTCAATATAAACTCCCCCACCCCCGCATTTTCACAGATCTTCACTTGCTGCTTTTCTTCTTCATGCTGAAATAACGTTCCTTGTATACCGTTTTCCTAATTGTTTCTGCTGAGGATGAGACCAATCATTTTCATAAACTGCTCTTTCCGCTTCGAATTTCATTTCCACTCCTTCTGTGCCTCTACAAGACGGTGCTGGGTCACTTACATAAGTTGTGCAACATGAGACCGCTTCTGTATCCTGTTTCTTGCATCATCGCGCCTGTCCCAGTTGAATGCACAAATGTGCTCAGTGCTGAACCTTGATGCATCTCTACCTCAGCAGGGAACTGTTTTAATCACACTTGTTTCTTTTTATCACTATAATCGTACCTGCTTCAGATTAGTTTAATGTGCTGGTCTGACATAAGATTTTGTCTGATGTTATACCAAGGTTCCATCATGAGTGTTTTTTTAGTGTATGAACATCAGGACGGTACCCTTTCTTTGTTGTCATTATTTTTCTAGGATTTATTTCCGGGACAGATGTTAATTATTTTATTTTATTAGTTTAATTATTTTCTTTCGTCTCTCCGTTTTAGTCATTCTAATTTGTTTCCAAATCATTCAATTGGCTATTCATCCCCGTTGAAAGCCGGTGATTGCATTGGTTTGGACATGTGCTAAGATATCCACCTGACGATGTCACATTCGTTACACTGAACGTTATAAGGATTCCTGAATGACACTGGGAATGAGGTGAATAAGTTAAAGCCTGAAGGGGCACTGTCATAACTGACAATGAAGTCATTTCTTGCCCGACAGTGCAAGGATACAAAAAGTGGAAGAAATACTTGTCGAACTTGCTGGCGGACATTGCGCGTACGTCATCGATGGATGTGGAAAGTAGCGATTCCGGACATCAGAGTAACTGGCTAAATCAGTGACGATGACAACCATAACAACAACAATAACATTTGATCTTAACAAGCTCACTGTAGCAGCCCAGTTGGTCATATCGTTGTTCAGAGCTTTGGCAGTTTTCCAGCTCTGCCCAAAAATATCGTGTTCATAAGTTTTATGTAATTGTCATATGCATGTTCTCAAAAATTAATTTGCACCCCCCGCTTTGTTTTTTTTAAAACCAACCGCGTTCCTGCAGCTTGCAATTTTCATGTTGCCACCCATGCTTGCATCGTTGTAGCGCTGGTTTCTTTCAGCTAAAGCTTACTGGAATAAAAGTTTCGAGAGTGAACCTAGTAAGCCGGAAGCTAAGGTGTCTCTTTATAATAAAGAAGCATCTCACTATGGCATGGCTCCCGTGTACTCCCGCGAAACCGTACTGAATGGCAGTCCACCGCAAGTTGCAAACGTTCCTCAGCAGGAGACTCCTTCGAAGTCGCATGAAACGTTGACAGCCAAATCAACAGAGGACGTTTTCCTCCAGGAGAAGGCTGAGTCAGACAGTGCTAAGCTGACGAGCCAATTCTCGCGGGTGGCCGCTGAACTGAACGAAGTTCTTGATGACAGAAAACCCTTAAGCGATGCTGACGGTGCTGAAGAAAAAGCCACGTTTCATCGCAGTCGGTCGGTGGACCTGGAACGAGAGAAACGTCGTCAGGAAAGAAGTGCCCGGAAACAAATAAGGTACACCTTCTAGTCCGTTCTTAGTATTGATTAAATTCGAGTGCAACGTGATACAAATTTTGAAACATAGGATCAGCCTCAAAATTTGGCCCTATGATGCATTTCGTCTTCTTTCTGAGCATTATTTTGGTAATGATTGCACAAATAATCTTCAGGATACACCATCAACATATATTTACGTCGTTCACCATTATACGCATTCATTCCCTCAGCAAAACTTCTTATTTTAAAAAAATGAACAGTGTACAATTATTGCACGGTGTATGCTCCGTTTTGTAAGAGTACAAGCTATGAAGCAAAGTTTGGCATTCATTTAGTAGATTAACATGATGTGTGGATTCCAGTCTTTTTGCTGGGATTAACAGTCATGATATATTCTTCTGCTATGCAGGTATATTTGAATGCACTAGCTGATTTGCATCATTTGGTAATTAGATCATTGCCTAATTCAGGATAGATCAGTAGTCAGAATAGATCATTTTACTGACGAGACTGTGCTTTCAAATCTCAGCCGGTGAAACTCGCCTTCCATCTTTCTGAGATAGGAAAGTGAATACAACCATATGTAAAAGAAGCAATGTACTACTTACTGTAGCGGTAACATTGGATTCGTAACACATGACACTCCGTGTTGATGTCATCATGATGGATGCCAGCGCTGCACTCTGAGGCACAGAAAAATGGAGCAATAAGTCTTGAAAGTGTTTGGGAGATCGACATCCCAATAGCTACAATTTGTCTTTTCTTTGTGGTTGCCTGCCTTTCGTGGTTAGGACGAAGCATAAATGTTTGAAGAAACCATACGACGTTAACAATAATCGTCAACATAAACATTATTGACTGCCATATAACCAGTGAAACATGGTAGAAGATATTTCTAACGGTCAGACATCAAAAATCTGGAAATCTGGTTGCTCCATATTGCGTAGGAGACAACAACAGAGTAAAGAAAATTGACTTAAATGAGGTATCATGAACTAACAGATGTGGTTGAATACTCAGGACCAGATGAATTTAAAGCTATCGATTTTATAACCGTTTTACAGTGTGAAACTAGCGAAACTGATCACTTGAGGTAGAAGTAGATCAATGATAGTCCAAAACTGATTGTCGTTTTATGTTCCAACTTGTTTTACTGGGGTATGGTCGCGCGTCATGCGAACAACAGGCATTTTGTTTGAAGCTAATGACGGCGCTGATGGCCGCCAGAACGTCATTAACACTCCTTTAACTGCGTCATTCCATTAGCGAGCATTTACATTTAATGTCACGACAGCAAATTTGTACTTAGCGAGTCAAATTGTAAAGGCGAATAGAAGAACTTGAAAGATGACGTCAAAAAATGAGGTTAATTTTTGCATGGTACGAGAATAAATAAGAGCTTATAATATAAGAGCTGTATTTATGGTGATCACTCACCTGGAATATTATTGCAGTGATGATGTGCTTTATTCCAGGCATACGAAATCGAAAGAGTCGATCACTTCTCGAGGGCATACGCATTACAGCTCATCCAGCGAATCTTCTACGAGCGAGGAAGAACGTAAAAGTCGACGAATAGCGCCAAGAAGCCGCAGCCACAGCAGAGAAAGTCGAAAATTGTCGGAATCGGATACAGGCTATAGCTGCAGTCATGATTCAAAACACAGCCACCACAGATCGAGCGGTCCCGAAGGCAGAAGTCATCACAGACACCACCGACGACCGAGAGATG